GAGAGAAAGAGAGAAGAGAGAGAAAGAGAGAAGAGAGAGAAAGAGAGAAGAGAGAGAAAGAGAGAAGAGAGAGAAAGAGAGAAGAGAGAGAAAGAGAGAAGAGAGAGAAAGAGATAAGAGAGAGAAAGAGAGAAAGAGAGAGCCAAGAGAGAGAGAGAGAGAGAGAGAGAGAGAATGGGAGAGATGGGCACACAGAACGCTCAAATGTCAACTCTCCGACACTTCTCATTCTTCTCTCCAGAGATCGTTCCATCTCTTATTAATCATTTGAGAACAAAAACCATAAACATGTCACAAGCTTCAGGTGACTGTACGTCTTCGTGGACTTGTGCCGCAAGACTCAAGCAAGCAAGCTCAGGGAAAAACCTCGTTTGGGAAAAAAACCCTGAGCTCCACCGACCTGCAAACTATACAGACCAGCGAGCCTGTGCGCACACCCCACTGCCAAGAGACAAGCGGAAACCCAACACACCACAAAAGAGGTCATATAGTATGATTTCTCAGAACGTTTTAAGGAGCGCTGCGCTGTCTCCTTTCAAGGTTTTTCACACTCTCATCCCTTTCTTCGGAGTTCTCTTTTCCCGGCGCCTGTCGAGGATGTGGCGGCGGGCCTAGAGCACATGGACACAAGGAGAGAGTCGGATGGGGCGGATTTGTGGCACCCCTTCGTCCATCTCACTTCTGCTCTCTCCTTTTGCAGCCCTCGCGCCTCTCCACGCTCAGAGAGCGTGTCCAAGTGGCCCATGAGCTCTTGAAACTCCTGCGTATTTCATGTGTGACAAGACAATTTGTTGTATGTTCCTTGAACAGGCTGACACGCATGGCCCCTGGACAAAGATCTTGGACACCATGGATATTGCTGGCCCTACGAAGGGCTCAGCGAGATTCAAGTGCGATAAAGGGTTGCAAGGCTGCACTCGGTCAAGGAACGGGAAAAATTGGTTTTACATGTAGTTGCTTGTTTTGGGGTGAGCCTGCGATCATCATGAATCAAGATTACGATCATCTGGACTATGTTCCTTTGCAGATCCGTAGAAGGACTCAGAACTCACCTCATCCTAGCCACTCTTCACTCACTGCAACAGTTTTGAAATGCCAGTGGAGGCACTGGAACAGATTCGACAAGCCGGGGGGCTTTGAGTTGTCTGTTATTGTTATTGATATTCGTGTTGCTGTTCAAGAGGTCTGTGGGACAGGGTACAGCATCGCAGCAATATGAATATTCACGTCACCGATGGCTTCAGCGTGGTATCAGCATGTTGCCAGCGACCATGGAGCACCGGAGAGTGGCAGGAGCAGAACGCGCACAGACTGACGAAAAGGTAGCAAGATGGAGGAAGATGGGAGCAAAAGCACGTTCGCGGCTGGTCAGTCACGGACGCTTGCCAGCATGCGAATGGACGCTCGGGCGCAGAGACAGGCCTGGGTGGCAGCTCGCATGGGGACCTACAAAAATGAGCATTCTGCATGAAAACAACAGCGGCGCCATCACTTTCAGGACCTCAGAGACGCTCTCTCAGCTGGGTATGCGAACCAAACATTTCGCCATCAGGACCAGCTGGCTGCGTTGGTCGAGAAGGCATTCGGGTTGTGCCCGGGTTGTGCATACACAAACGGGATCTAAGAGGCTGCAGCTTCAGAGTGCAAACGTGCTGAAAACAAAAAGAAAATATGCAGGAAAGGCTGCGACCCTTCTCCGCGACTGAGACTAGTGCCTATCATGACTTCATCTTTTCGGACAGACTGGTTCTTGAGCTTTGATGAGTTGTGGAGGGCACTACCTCCAAAATAGTGGTAGTTCACTCTAGTATTTGACTTGGTCAGGTAGTCCGTCCCTTTGTTCGGCGTATGGAATGGTCACCAACTAGTACTACGCCTCAGGGTGCTGTCATGCTTTGACCTGAGATGCCCTATGGTGGGCGCAGCGAGATCGAAGGGTTGCAAGCTGCACCCGGGTTTGTTTTTGGGGTGTATGATCCAAGAACCGATCATCATGCTTCTATATGATTTGCCATTGCAGATCCGTAGAAGGCCTCAAAACTCACCTCAACCCAGCCGCTATTCACTCAGCACCGAGCCACCTCAGCCCTTAACCCCTCAACACAATATCAAGCCTTGAACCCAACTCCCCTCTACAGTTTCCGAAACCATCCTCCGAGGATAAAAGCAGATTTCGCACGTGGAACCATGCATGGGGGGCGCCCGTCATAAGGTAGCAGTCTGCGTGCCTCCTCGTCCGGCTCGTCGTCCAGTGGTTCCTCGTCACCGTACCTGCAATCCAAGAAGCTGGCGCGCGCGCGCGCGCACGCGAAAGTTCTCCGC